TGGTCCCTTTGCTCTTGCTTGTAACTTTCCAAGGAATAAAAAGATGCCAAAGAATGTCCTTGGAGCACTTATATGTATTTTTTCCTTGCATATTTAAGTCTAATATAGCCAGTAAGGCTAAAATGTTATCTATGTTTTACTGAAATAGTTGTGTCTGTTCTTTTCCTGTTACATGTTTTATTTCACCTTCCATCATAGAATAGTAGAGTTGGAAGGGGCCTATAAGGCCATTGGGTGCAACCTCCTGATTAATTCAGGACTCCAAGTTAAAGCATCCTTGACTGATGGGTATCCTGCTGCATCTTGAATGTCTCCACTCTCTAGGTAATTGGTTTCATTGCCATACTGCTCTAACAGAAAGAAAGTTTTTTATCATGTTCAACCAGAATTTGATTTCCCGTAACTTCAACCCGTTATTCCATGTCCCACAGTCTGGGATGATTGAGAAGAGTTCCTGACCCTTCTCTGCGTGATAGCCTTTCAAGTATTTGAAAAGTGCTATCACATCTCCTGTCAGACTTCTCTAGGCAAAACAAGGTCAGTTCTTTCAGTCTCTCGTAAGGCTGAGTTTCAGTCCCCTGATCATCCTTGTTGCCAGATAATTTCCAGTTTATCTGCATCTTTCTTAAACTGCAATGCCCAGAACTGGACACAGTACTCCAGATGAAACCTTCCAGCACTAAGTAGAGGAGAACTAGTACTTTGTATGATTTGGAAGTGATACTTCTGTGAATGCAGCCCCAAATAGGATTTGCCTTATTTTGCAGCTGTACCATATTGTTGACTTATATTCAGTTTGTGATCTACAACAATTCCAAAATCCTTGTGAACTAAAACAATTCCAAAATCCTTCTTGCTTGTAATATTGTTGGGCCAAGTATCCCCCATCTTGTAACTATGCATTTAGCCTTTTTGTCCTAGGTGCAGAACTTTGCATTTGTCCCTAATTCATTACGTTGCTTTCAGCTGATCACTCTAGCTTCTCAAGATCACTTTGAATTTTGTTTCTGTCTTCTGAAGTATTACCCATCCCATCAAATTTCGTGTCAATTGCGAATTTGAGTAGAATTTCCTGCACCTCCTCATCCAAATTATACAAATGTTGAAGAACACTGGGCCCAGGACTGAACTGTGTGGTAACCCACTCATTACCTCTCACCAGTTTGAGAAGCTTGCATTGATGAACACTTTTTGAGTCCAGTTCTGTAGCTAGCTATGAATCCACCTGATAGTTATCCCATACATCCCACTTTTAGCTAATTTGCTAATCAGGATATCACTGGGCACTTTGTCAAAAGCTTTGCTGAAGTTAAGAGATATGTCCACAGCATTCTCACAGTCTATTATAGAAGTAACCTGATTAAAAAATGAAATCAGATTAGTCTGGCAGGATTTGTTCTTAACTTTATAAGCTTTATAATTTTCTCAAGGATTAATGTCAGACAGACTGGTCTATAGTTCCCAGGTTCCTCCTTTTTTTCTCCTTTTGGGAGAAGACAAATTAGTAGTTCAGGACTTCTGCCTTTTCTTTGTCATCATTTTGCCATCTTCACCATGTAGCTGAATAACCATTTCTTTCCTCTGTTTTTAGTAGGCACATATCTGTTGGATTTTTTCATTAACTCTAGCTCATTCTCAGCATTAGTCTTTCTGAGGCCGTCCCTGGAATTTCATGCCCCTTACCTGTACTTTTGCTTTGTAGCCTAGCCTACTTTCCACTTCTTATACATGTCCTTTTTGACTTTCAGGTTGTCTCTAGACTTTTTGTGAAGTTACATTGGGTTTTTCTTTTCTCTTCTACCTTTTCCTGGCTGGAATGGTTTGTAATTGCACATTCAGAAGTTCTCTTTTTTAAAATCCCCACTCATCTTAAACTTCTTTTTTCATTAGAGTCACTTGCCATGGGACCTTGCTTATCATTATTCTGGGTTTCTTAAAATTGACTTTCCTAATATACAAAGTACATGTTTGGTTATACTTTTGCCTCTCTAGAATCACAACTTCAGATATGACATGGATGCTTTCCCCCAGTGTTCCCATAATTGCCACTCTATCCACTAGGTCATCTCCGTTGGTTAGAATCAAATCAAGGATGACCTAGGAAGGTGTGAGGAATCCATTTGGAGGTGGGAATCTATTGGATTCCCTGGGCTTAGATTCCCAGACTCTGGTCCACTTTGCAGCAGCCCTGTGTCCATACACTGCATAAGCAACATCTTTCTTTTGTACCTGCTGCTGCTGCCAGCTGCTTCAAGCATGGAAGAAGGTAGGTTGCTGGGAATGGTGCCAGGTATGACTGCTCACAGTGCTCCTCTTCCACATCCTGCAGCTGCTCTTCGGGCAGCTGCACCTGACAGGAAATTGTGCAACCAGGGATCTACAGTGTTCATGGACTTCTTGGCTTGGCTCACTTTGCAGGACCAGGCCAAGCACAAGAGCAAGTCTGCAGATGCCAGAGGGGCAGATTCTGAAAGGAAGGAGCTAGAATGGGAGGAAGTTATCAGCAACACAAGTCAGAAATTTCTTGGAGGGGCAATATTTGGCAAAATATGTTGCCTAACAGATATTAGGAAAACTGATATCCACCATCATGCCTGCTTGAAACACTGGCAATTTGCCTTTCAATGGTTTCATCCCCATCTTCTCCTTGACTGGGTGGTTGGTATTAAATTCTGACCATCATGTTCCTTTTATTCTTTGATCCATTAATTTTAATCCAGATGTGCTGAGTGAGGCTACTAAACTCATCCCCCTGTATTTTTGTGCAGAGATCTGTATCTTTAACATATAACCTGGCTTCTCCTCCCCTTTCCGCTTCTTCTGTTCTTCTTGAACAAGATCCATGGCTGTATTCCAGTCATGGAAATCATCCCTCCACATTTTATTTAGCTTATCAAGTTGTATTTATCCTCCTGTATTAAGAGTTCAAGTGTGTGCTGTTCATTTCCTATACTGTGGACATAGTATTTAGACATCAAAAACCATGTGTTTTATAGCTGAACTTCCCACATTTTTTGGAAGACTATTATTAGGCACCATGAGAGCTGCTCTCCATTGTGGTGCATAAGTCTTTGTCCATTGTTACCTCCAAATTTATATTTTAAAATGCTTCTGATGAATTTCTTCATGCCATGGCCTGGCCTGGAAAAAACTCATTCTTACCAGTACTAGTAAGGTGCAGCACATCCCTAGCCAACAGTCCATTTTTCAGGAAGTATAGCCATGGTTTCAGGAACTAAATCTCTTGTTTTGGTACCGGCCTTGAAGCCAGGAAGTCAAGTGTTTTCTTCATGGTTTCTGTGACTCACATGTATGTATTACGTACCTGCATGCAAGTCATTCAGAGTTTCACTTGCAAAGGCCTGTTTGAGAGGTGGGGGCTTTCTCTTTTGTGATTTCTATTTTGTGGAATGAAACTTCCTTGGTGGTATAATCAGTTCCTACTCACTATGCTTTCAGAACAGATGTCAACATATCTCTTAAATTCAATATTTCTAATGGCGTAAGGCTTTGCTCTATCCCACCATGGGGGCACTGTTGGTTTTTCAACTTAGATTTTGAGGAAAAAGTGGCTGGGTGGGAAGGTTTAAACACTAACACTAAACAAAATGTTGAGGGCCAGCATGCATGCTATGTATTTAACAGAGCACGTAGTTCAGCCAACACAAGAGCAATTTAGAGCAGAAAGTTTTACATGACAAAAGTCATGTCAACCTTATTGCAATCCTAATCTTGATCAGGGATTTTACAGCTGCCTTTGGTTTTAAGGATATTGTAGCATAGGGATATGTGAAGAATCCTCTGGGAAGTGGGTGAAAATCTAATCAATTTTCTCAGTTCACCTCTATGGATCCCATTCCATCATCCTTGTAGTGGTGCCAACTTCATCTGATGAAAGTAAAACAGTTGACAATTAGTGTGAGGGAGGGAAATTAGCACAAAATTCAGATGTCTACCCTGCAAATTTTCATGAATTGTGTACATTTAAACAAATTACACACATTTGCTCAAACAAAGGCTCAAATTATGACTTGGTCCCAATCAGCACAAATCATGATTTGCTTGCTCCAGTGCTGCACAGTTCCTAGCTCTAAATTTGCACAATGTTTTGAGTGAATGCACAGAAGCAAGACCCCCACCCCCACCCCTACACACATACCTAATTTGGCCTGCCTTTAGTGGTTGGGTCAGAAATATATTGGAAGTCCAACTATCTCAAATGTTATGAGTTTTCCAGCTTCTTACATCCCTAATATAGGGAATCCCAAGCATGGGGTTCAAAGATGCATTTAGACTTCAATTGTTAAAGTATGATCTACTTCGACACTGTATATAAGACTTATCTATGGCTGCGGTATACTCGCTAAAGACTCAGACTTCAATCCCCTATGCACTTACTTGGCAGTAAGCCCCACCAAGTGCTGTGAGGATCATTTGTAAACATGTACAGGATTGTGTTGTCAGTCACATTTAACTCCAGGGGACTTTTAAGAAACATGCTTCATTAGCATCATGCTGGAAGTATGCTTAGGACTACAGCCCTCATGCTCTGGAGATCAGGCTAATGAAATGTCTGATTGGAGAAAGCATTTTTTATTACTGGAGACAAATTCCCATTTGGTAAGAATTCAGAAATGTTATTTACCAAGAAAGCAACCAGTAGATGTAATATGATATCAAAGAAACTGGAAACAGCCTCTGTCATTGAGTCAGCCCTATAAGAGACAGAGAGCATCTGTTGGGTGGACATGTTTCTCTTGAACTGCCAATGATTTTGATCCACTCAGTACCTTGGCATAGGGAGTACAATAGTGAATTATCTTCAGTGCCTCAGAGGCTGCGGTTAAAGCAGCTCCAAATGTATTCTGGCATTCCTCTTGATTCTTTTCTCAAATGCATCTTTTATATGCTTGATCAGAGGAATGAGACTGTACAGCTAAAACAAACACTGCTTTGTGTCTGAATATTCTTGTAATGCTTAATTATCCTCTGTATTGCAGATGTTGATGAATGTGCATCCGAGTCACATCAGTGCAACCCCACCCAAATCTGCATCAACACTGAAGGAGGATACACTTGCTCCTGTACTGAGGGATACTGGCTTTTAGAGGGCCAGTGTTTAGGTATGTTATATTGTATGGCAATGTGGAGGTGCTTTAAGGCTAAAATCCAGGCCCCACAGCCTGGTGGGGTGGGCAAATGAGCAGTTAAAAGGCAACAGTTGATCAGGAGATATTTTAATCCTTAAGGTAATTTTTAAAGGTATTATGGTATTAAATTTTAGCACTCCTGTCCCTACATGATTAGTTTAAGAACTCAGGACATTGTGAGGTTTTATGTGGGTTTTATGTGTCTGACTGTTGTGATTTTATCACAGTGTTTGTTAATTTTTGTTTCACTTGAATATTGTTATTACTGTTTACTTCTATTCTGTAACCCACTCAGAGAGCCATTTTGGTTATGGTACAGAATAAGAATCACATACATATGAACTTCTAAAGGAGTGTTCTGTTGAATCCAGGGTTAAAAATTATCCATCTAAACTATCAGGAGAAGTGCAGTTTTTGAAATTGTTGTTTGTTATCTTTACATGATGGTTTGTGGGGAAACTTCTGGCTGGTCCAATACTACTAAAGGAGATTAAATGGAAGAAAAAATGTATCTGAACAAAGAAGGATTCAGTTTATGGTCCGTCTTGATAATTGTCTAAGAACCATCATTCTCAGGTGTTTCTTCAATTTTTTCCCTTTCTTATATTCTACTGGCAGTTTATTATTCCTAAAGGTAGATCAACGCAATCTATTCTTACCCCAAGGTGCCCATTGTGACATAAATGAGGTTATTTGATTTCTCCTCATTACTAAGACTCAGTGAGAGCAGAAAACATTGCTCATATAACACAATAACCCACAGTGGCTTATAGTGTGCTGTGTGAACCTGGACTCCTTCCCCCAAGGGTGGTTATTTAGGGCTCATAGGCCATCCTGACAGGCTAATTCTTATTGGTGGGATTGTTTCACCCACAATGAGTCAGCATGTTGTTCAAACCTGGGCAACTGTCTCCATCATTGATGAAGGCAAGGAGTGAGGAAGCCACCTAGCAAAAGCTCTCACCATCTCCAATAGCATGCCCAAGAGTCAGTTGTCACTGACTTGCTCCCCGCTGTGTTGTGATCATGAGCTATCTTAGGCTTGCTGCAACATTTTCCCCTATAACATTTGTAAGCTGCCTTGAGTTCCTTGAAAGGAAAGAAGGTGGGATAGAAATAATAAATAAATACCACCGCCCCCCTCCAGGAATCATGTTCTCTGACTGGACAAACAGGTTTCATAATACCATTTTGACAGCCACATTTTCAGAGTTCCCAAGCCACATCTTGGTGGGGCTGGCCATGATTACAAATCTTTTTTATTTTTTTAATTTTTGTTTGGGTCTCTTCCTCATGGGATTCCTCTTTGAAGGTCCCTGTCTTTTTTATCCCTTCTGTTGAGTTCTTCTGTACATCCTTTCCACTTTCTATTTTATCCTGGTCAGATAGTATATTTCCCTACTGATCCTTCAGCATCTGGTCATCTGTTGGATGGGCCATGTGTTCATTGCAGACCACTCCATTGTGGGTTATTGCTAGGGTGGGCAGGGTGGCACGACCTGCAAATGTGCGCATCGCCTTCTCTCTGGTTTGGCCATCACATATTAGCAGCATTATCATAATAATTATCATTTATTAAATTTCTGAGTTGCCTTATTTAAAAAAGAGTCAAAACAACTTAGAAATTAAAGCAGCTAAAATACTTATCAATAATATACTTGGGCACATAAATAAAACATATTTGACTACTGTAAACAATTCAGTTGATATATTAGGTAGCCCATCATGACAGGAGGAAGCTGAGAATAGAGGTATCCTGGCTTTCCTTGCAGTTTCTTCAAAGCGAACTTTAGACAGACTCCTTCTAAATGATGTTGACCAGTTAAGTATAAATGAAGTAAATAACAAAAGAAAAATATAATACTAGAATACTATTCAACAGAGAAAATCAGTTTAATGACAAGCAGTTGATTCCAAATTGAATGAACAATTCACAACTTCAGGCAGATTCTCCTGTTTAAGGGTCAATCACTTGGAGTATCTGATGTGTCTTAGCTGGTCTGCCCTCTTTACCTGACTCCACACTCTGGAATTATTGTTGCATGCATCCACTGTGAACAGATGGTTTCCAAAAATTTGGCAGGTGTGTTACTGAAAAGCTAACACATGATAGTTCCCCTTTATGACGTTTATTAATGCAGAATCTACAGACCAGCAATACCAAATATGATGTGTATACCACAATGGTGTGTTCAGGGACATCAGTCCTAAAGTGTGTGCAGAATCTGTGATGAATAATGTAGGACAAGCTGAGTGTGTTGATATTTTTCCTGTCATATCATTGTTACATTTCTCAAAATACCTGTTTTTTAAAAAGAAAAGGGACTGCAACTAGCATAAACCACAAGGTCCAAACATTTAAAAAATCCCTTCTGAAATGTATGAACTCCCCTTTTTATAGCTCCCTCTGCTGAGTAACAAAATTCTACTGTACCTTCTGGTTTATCAAGCACATTCACTTGTACTCTTCTTTTTCTGGCTGGAAGAAGTAGGACTAGATGTATTCTAGGGCCTCCTTCAGAAGGCTACTTCTGCATGTTTGCTCTTCGCATGTTTCTTATCCTGTCAGTCAACACAGTAAATAGGCATAAAGTTCCAGAAGACCGTCTGCATTTAGTTGGACCAAAATGACAATACTATTTATTATTTATTTGTTTAATTCCATTTCAATGCTGCCCCATAACCGAAAGATTCTCTGAGTAGCTTTCAGTGCTAGAAATATATTCTACTAGAGATTATGTCATTCTGATTCCTTTGTTACTACAGCAATCTCTATTATTTGTATTCTTCTTGATAGTTTGTGAATCTTTTAATTGGTCGTGAATTATAGAATCCCCCCCGCCCCAGTATTTGAAAGATGACAGCTGTGGCACGCTTTAAGTGCCAATTAAAGACCCATCTCTTTACTTAGGCCTCCCCCAAATGAATATACTGCCCATTTTGTTTGCTAATTATGGTGTTGTGACTATTTGGCCTCAATGTTTTATATAATTTTTTTTTCATTTGTTACACTGTGTTTTAAAATCCCTGTAAGCTGTATACGTATGTACGTATCTGCATCTATATATATATTAGAAATCTGTAGATAGCTTTATGTGGAGTGGCCTGAGTGTTTTAATGCATGTAGCCATTGGAGGAGAATGTCTGATTCAGTTCCTTTCTGGACAGACCTGTGTGAGTGCAATGGCAGAATGGTATTTTGCAGTGATCATGCAGAAAACAACTGTAATCATAGAGAGGGATAATGTAATGTATGGTGGGGGCAGGTTTTAATGGGGTTGTCACAAAGTCAGAAATAGCAGTTTCGCAGGAGAGTCCTGAATACACATAATTCGTGTGCTTAGAGCCTGGAGTTCTCCCTGTGGTCAGGCATGGCTTCTTCCTTAATGCATTCTTGCTTCCCTGGCAATTTGCAAATGTCAGATCAATTCTACTGTGTCACCTGTAGGCAGCCTGCAGGCTGTGTGGTGCCTTCAACTGCTTGCTTGGCAGCTCATCTTCTCTTACTCTCTAACTGATCAGTTGGCAGCACTTGCTAGGGGACAAGCATAGATGGCTATTTCCCCACTAATAATATCTGGAGAAAAGAAGCTTTAACCACACACCCCAGTTACCCCACTGCACTCAATATCACTGCTAATGGAGTCTATGTTGATACATGAGCAGAATGGAAACTACCTCCAGATATGTATGTCGCTCAGTTGCAGCAGTGCAAAGAGCTTTGATTACTACCATGCCTGTGCAACTTTCTTGTTATTTTTTTTTTTCCAGCTGAGGCCAACTCACTGTCTCAATTTTCAGCTGATTTCTACTGCAACATAATTTTTGTGGACATGCTCACAGTGTGGTATTTTCTGCTCTGCTTCCTTTTAATATGAAACTGGAACTTTATGAGCTTATGTAACTTGAGTGACTGTGATATTACATGTGGATAATGAGCAGTACTATTTATATAATAAAACTTTCATATATTTATTAATGTTGATGATCTCCAACACCACTGAAAACAAAGCCAGCAGCTAAATTGTTGTCTTCTTTTTTACAATTCAAGGAGATTATGCTTAATATTTCCCTGCCGGGTTGCAATTTTTTGGGTCATCACCCCAACACTATATTTTTATGACCCATAGGTACATGTGTAGTGTTTACTGGAAGAATCACAGATAGGTATGACAATATTAAAGCTCACTACCCCAGGTAGCCACTACCTGAATCTTAACAAAACATGTAATTTGGTTGTAGGTGCCATGGGTAAATGCACTCTTTGTTCAGTAGATTTAGATTAGAATATAATAGTCAGTTGATACAATCAGATGTTTCATTTTTCATTGTAGCTTACACTGTAGGTGTCACAAATTCAAATTTATTTATTTATTTAAACAACTTATATGCCGCCCCATCTCATGAGCCTCGGGGCGGCTTACAAATATAGAGGAGTACTGGGTTCCAGCAACATGATAGCCTACAATCATTGTGTTTTCTGAATCCAACCAAGATAACAAGCCATGATGAACAACCCACAGTCCATAACCCAACAACAAACCATGCTTCTTTTCATGGTTATTTATGGTTAACAAATAATGTAACAAGTACAATAACAAGTAACAAGTTAATGTAACTGGGTTCAGATAGCATGATGGACAAGTTCAACAGCAGCCCACACTCAGCCTTTGAGAATGGATTATTATGTTGCCTGAAACTAGTCACTGCTTACTATAACTGAATCTACCTTTGGAATTTTACAGTGGTGCACAAAAAAAAATATGGTGTCCTTTTAAAGAATAGGTCAGCCAGCTTGACCTTATGGGATGATCTGAATTATGCAATCATGTGCAATGTATTGGTGTGAACTGGTCAAGGTTTGATGGACAAAGATTTATTTAAATGTATTTATTTAAAACATTTTTATGCCGCCTATTGTGCCACAGCACCTCTGGGCAGCTGTCTATTGGCCTAAAGAACATAGAATTTGATCATACTGTATTTATTTGAGATTTATTAGAAAATATTATTAGAAACAACACAGGGTTAACAGTTATATCAATGTGGTTATCGATTTTGCTGTATAATAGGTACAATTGTTAGCCTTACGTGTAATTCACATTTTCTTCTAGACATAGATGAATGTCGCTATGGCTACTGTCAGCAACTGTGTGCCAATGTACCTGGCTCTTACTCCTGTACGTGCAATCCAGGATTTGTTTTGAATGTTGACGGAAGAACATGCCAAGGTATTGTGTGTGTGAGAGTGAGAGAGAATATCAGTTTTTATTCCCAGATAAATAACACCTTTCAACATCCATGTAACATTAAGAATGTTAATAAATGCCTTTAGTTCTACCACTATTGCTGCCACAACGACATGCTGTGTTTTATGTGGTCTATACCTTACTTGTGCTGGTTTTTAAATAATCAAGATGTGCTATGAAGAAATTGTTTCTATATAAAAATTTGTGATCAGATGAATTCCTATTAATTCAGTTCAAAAGCATGCTAACAGTTATGAGCAATGAGGGATTATGAGTATGTGCAAAATCTTATTTGATCCATAGAAGAATTTCTCAAGAAAATAGTTTCCTTTGTAATGTGCCTTGGCGCTACCACCTAGGCAAATTCATAATATAAGAAAGTAATTACCAACTTTTACCACCAACAAATAAATCAAGGGGAAATATTTAAATGGAACACTGAAGTCCCTCCTCCACCCATGCCATTGGAAATTCTGCTCATATTATTTGCATGTTTTGATTTTATATACTGTCCTATTCCCAAAGGCTCTGAGTGGTTTGCAAGAGATTTAAACGAACAATAATTAAAATGTTGACTAAAAACAAGCATATTAAATAAAACTAATCTAATCTGGAAAGACTTGTTCGAAGAAATAGATCTTTAATTTCCTCTTGAAGGTAGCAGTCTGGGATATTCAACACATCTGTCCAGACAGTTTACAGGCAACCACTGAAAAAGTACTCTGGGTAGTTGTCATTAATCTTACAGAAGCAAATTTCAGAAGATTATGTATTGTTAAGCCGCCTAGGAAAGCCTTGGCAATTATAGGTAGCCTATAAATATATGTAAGGGATGCAGGTGGAGCAGTGGTTTAAACTGCTGTGCTGCTGGGCTGGTCGATCAAAAGGCCGCCGGTTCGAATCTGCACAACAGGACAAGTTCCCGTTGCTCCGTCCCAGCTCCTGCCAACCTTGCAGTTCGAAAGCATGCAAATGCAAGTAGATAAAAAGGTACCACTTCGGTGGGCAGGTAACAGTGTTCTGTGCACTTCGGTGTTTAGTCATGCCAGCCACATGACCATGGAGACTGTCTGCAGACAAACGCTGGCTCCCTCGGCTACGAAACGGAGATAAGCACCGCCTCCTAGAGTCAGGCATGACTGGACTTAACGTCAACGGGAAACCTTTACCTTTACCTTTTTATAAATATATGTAAATAAATAACTAAGATTACCCCAGAAGACCCTGGTGGGTGAGGTGGAATATATGGGCAAACCTGCTCCTGAAGGTATTTTGGACCCAAGCAATAAAGGGCTTTAAAGGTAATTAGTAATGTCTTGAACTGCATCCAGAAACATACTGGCAGCCAGTGCAGAGACTTTAATATTGGTGATGTATGGTCTCTCCATGATGTCCCAAAGATCATCCTGGATGCCATATTTTGTACTGGTTGGATTTTTTACAGTAGGCACAAGGGTAGCCCTGTGTGGCACACATTGCAGAAACCAGCAAAAAAGCACATTGTACATGTGGGCAGCTCCAGGTTGCCCGTAGCAAAATGTCTTCTGATGGGCCTTGTTCTACTTCGGTGAGCTTTGCCAAGCAGCTTCAGCTACTTAGGAGCCTGCTGCTACACTATATTGGAAGATTGTGGGAAATTAAAAATGTAGCACTAAACCATTCATTGCTGCTCACTGCTACAAGGATTTTTAAAAGATGGGTGCCAAGGTACATATCAGCCATGGCTCCTGTCAAAAATGAGGGAGTCCCAAGGTAGCTGAAAATATGCTGGAAATATTTGAAGTAATTTTGCACCCAGTATTTATTTATCTACTTGTGTGGTATGTTCACAAAATAGATGCAACCCCTAAGTACATTAATCTATATCTTGCTGCATACAGGCTATTTTGCTTTTGTGTTGTGATGCAATTCATTGTTTTGGTGCTTCGTTTGCAAAATTTTCAAAGTTTCTCATCCTGAAGATGAAAAAATATCCTAGCAGTATCCCCATTAAAAGTGACTTTAAGTCAAATCTACTTTGTTGCACTCACAGCCATACATTGCCCTTTCCCCCTCATGTCATCCTGCTGCTTTTGGCCAGGTTTTAAAGCAGTTGGAATCTTGAAATTAGTAGATAAACAAGGAAGCACCTGCAGGATACATTTGAGTTTTGTTTGCCATATTGGTCTGAACTCAAAAATGTGGAATCTTTCCAACCTATTATAGTGATAAATTGAACTTCTGTAGCAATGAAGCCTTCTAAGAGTCTGGGATAATCCTTTGTGTCCATTGAGGATTGTGACAGGTAAGTGGTGGTTTCTGGGGGAGTGGGGGTGTTAATGGCTTTCAAGTCAGAACAGTTAATTCTGGCCTGATAAATAGTGTATGGTTCCAAACAAGTAAGTTACAGGACATCTTCATTTTCCATGTATAACATTCCTGTGCTTTCCCACTAGTTCTTCATTTTTTTCCACAGAAGGTTCAACAAGGCAGAAAAGAAAAGGCCTTACAATGTTCTTTATCTGGCAGTACTGCAAGGAAGCCCTTCATCTGGAAGGCGACACTGGCAAGCTGGAGTAATTGCCACTTGCTCCAGTAAAGTAATGGCATAAAGAGAATGAGCAAGTGACTCAGATGACTTCTTTCCTCATCTTCTCTCTGAAGTGTGATTTGCACATACCCCATTCATTCATTTATTCATTAATTCATTCATGGGATATGTACAAATGTGAATTCTTTTGAAATAAGGTCTATGCAGTGTTACTTACGCATCCTGTACAATTACCACAAGCAGCCATTGGCCTTTTGGTAGTAAATCAAGTTTTTAGTTTTGTCTTACAGGGCCATAAAAAGCGTGTGCCAATACACTTAAAAAATCACTCTTTTACCCTAAGCCAGGGGTATTCAGCACTTGGCTGTGGATTGTGCACACCTACATTTTCCTGGAGCCCAGTTGATCAGCTGAGCTACAGGAAATGGCAATACAAAGGAGGATCTCAGAATGACCCAAGGAGGCTTTTTTTCAGCAGTAAACAATAAGAGTAATATAGGATGCGTTTTTATGTGTATTTAGCCTGGAAAAAGTCCTACAGCTCCAGAATGTCCCAGCCATTGATATTTTCTTTCTAAATGTACATAGGATCATGTCTTTAAAGACATTTAAACTTAAAATACAGTATTGGATAGTTAAAATGAAAATAACTTACTGATATAATCCCACCAAGGATTTTTTTGAGGCAGCAATGAATTCTAGTTATCTTCCTCCTTTTATAAAAAAAAAAACTTATTCATCTTCAGGTTCTAAAAACAAGTTGGAAACTGGTCGTAACTTTTAAAAAGGCTTTTTTGCTATTGTAAATAAAACTGCAAGCTTAAAAAATTAATAATCTAGTCATTGGTTTTCCATAGATGTGAATGAATGTACAACTCGCAATCCTTGCGTGCAAAACTGTGTCAACACTTTTGGTTCATTTCTGTGCCGTTGTGATCCTGGCTACGAATTGGAGGCTGATGGCATTAGTTGTACTGGTAAGCAGAATTTATGGTCAAGAATATCTTGACTTAAGTTCCACCAACTTATCTTGTTTTTCTTATTACCATCATATGGAAGGATACAATTAGAGGATTAATTGTTGTTCTTATGTGCTGTTCTTATATCGCTGACTTATGGTGACCCTATGAATGGCCTTCAAAGTGTCCTGTCCTTGACAGTCTTGCTCAGCTCTTGTAAATTCAAGATGGTGGCTTGCTTTATGGAATAGATCCATCTCATAGCTGTTTTTCCTCTTCTTCTGCCTCCTTTTTCTCCTTCCTTAGCATGACTGCCTTCTTCTGTGAGTTCTCCCTTCTCATGGTGTGCTCAAAGTACAACAGCTTTGGTGTTGTCATGCCCAATCCCACAACTGTAATAATTAGGAAATGGCATACCCCAGCTTTTAAACAAAAATTCAACTGAGGCAATATTGCTAGACAGTCACCTTAAAATTTGCTGCATAACTACTGTTTTATAATTACAAATGTGGAGTGTTATTCAAGATTGTGACAGCCACAGAAATACTTTTAGAAGATGCAGTGACTCTGACAAAGATAATCAGCTTAGACAGTCTTTGTGGCCTGTGGGTCCATTTGGAAATTTGAGAAACTGTCCTGCATACTGCCACAAAATGGTTGCTATGGGGGGTTGCTACTCCCTGTCTTTATCACCTGCCTCTTGCTTATAGATCCACACAGAGGGGCTGGTTGGCCGGAGCAGTTTCAGCAATTGCCACTCTTTCCAGGGGACTCTGTGGTAGTTGCATACCAGGACCATGGAAACCATGAATTTAGGTTCAGACAGCATGACAAGCCATCTTGGTACAGGGAAACTATAGAACAAATCACTGTTTCTTACCATGGTTTCTAAAGACGAAATTTATCATAGTGAAATACCATGACTGGGTTCAGACAGCATGACAGACCAGCAGTGGTAAAAAATCGCCATGACTTCTTCTGTTGTCTGTACCCAGCCACAGGAAATGAGAACTGCAGCTGCAGAAGGCCCAGACCTTGCTTTGAAGTGATCCCAGCTGCTGATTAAAAAAATGTGTTTATTAATAAAATGTAGGATGGGTGGGACATCTTGGCAAGTGCCAAAAAAGGCATCAGAGGTTGCACTGGTTCCCACAAATGCCATGTTGCCTACTTCTATGCAAGAAGTACACCATCAGGAACTAAAATACGATATTTGACAATGGAATCAAGTAAAAATTTTCTGTATATAGAAAAGAAATAATATATGCATATATCATATTTTATTTAATCTGGAAAAGTATATTTATTACAATCTTTTTGAAATATTTTAAGTATTTTTATTTGGATTGCCATGTATAGGGTTAGAATGTGAAACTAACACACATACACACCTACCTGTCTTTGGAAAGGGATATTCAAATAATATTGTTTAATACCATCCTGAGGTCCATTCTCTCTGGTTATGAGTTAATAATATATTTAAGACAATGTATGGATTTGCATGACTATTCAAACTTCATTTGAAGAAAGTCCCATTCATTTAAATAAAACATACTTCCAAACAATAAAGGTCAGCATTCTAGCCAGCATTCTGACTCAGTTCCCATTATCAGCAGAACTTTAGCATAAGTTACACCTCATTTGATTCCTGCAGTTGAACTAAAGCGGATTTTACAAATATTCTTGTCATGAACCAGCTGGCAATAGCCATAATCCCTAAAGTTAATGAATTCAAACAATAAAGGCTATATGACTATATCAGTAGCATTTTATGCTTGTTTCCGTTCTAGCACTTAACATATTTGGTTTAATTTGGAAATGATTTGTTAATTCTGTTTATGTTCAGGAAACATCCCCTGTGTCTAGTTGAACAAGAGAGTCCACTCAAGCTGTAGGAAAACTAAATAGCTGGAAAATGTTTTAGTCTTTCCCCACTGATTTATTATAAGCAGATGAAACAATATGGCCTGTATTAAAAAGAACATATGGTGTGTGTACACAGGGACAGGTGTTGGGAGCTAGGATCTCCCCTTCTCTCTTTCAAACAGCAGACAGTTCCTTGGCAAAAAAAAATCTTTATTTTCATTGTACACCCAGCATTGTATAACCAGCAAAGAATGAGTCTTTGAGCATACACAGAGTGGTTCATTGAACCCAAACTAGAAACTATTTCCCAGAACCCTCCTTTTGAGTAACCCTGGACCCAAACCCTCTGGGAGTGCTCCACTGGAGATGAGCAAGTCTCCTAGCTGTATGCAGGCCTTCTAGCTGGTCAGCTCTTCTCTCCCAGGGGGTTGAGGATCAGACCAGGCTGCTCTGGCTTCACTCCCATGCCCCCTCCCAGCACTTCCATATCCTGTTGGTTCCCAGAGTCTGCCTGAACACCTGGAAATGGTGGCCCTGAGATAAGCTCTTCCCCTGCCATCTCCATCTGCAGACTTCACATCCTGGGCCTCACCTTCCTCATCTGAAGAGTTGGTGCCACCCTGTGCCAAGAACAACTCCCAACATTCCCAACAACAGAGTAGGAACTCATAGGCTGTTTTTAAAAAGTTAGCAACACTGCAGACTCAGTATTTTAAAATGTGTATCTACATTCTGTGTTAGTCTTAACCTCCTCACAGTATCCCTTTTTCTGTGTTGTACCCACTTAACCATTAGTTTCTTAATTTGGTGCTAAATATTATATTACATTCTGTATTATATTAAAAATTTCTTTGCCCAGAATTTGACTTCATTTAGTATCTTCAGGAACTACATGGAGAAGAGATACAGGATATCAGTTGTCAGATGAGAATGCTGAGGTGCCAAACCCAAATTCCCACCTTGCTGTTACTGTTACGCTACAATTGCTAGTAGATATACCGAAACAACAACAAACCCCGCTAGCATTGCCCAGAGTCTTGCAATCCAAAAAGAAAAAACTGCTTCTTAATCCACTCTCGTTTGAATGCAATAGGAGAATAAGAAATTAATTAAATATTATTCTCTGTACTACAGCGCCTTTGCCGTATTATCCTCAAATGAATAAATATAAATTTATATAAAAGAGTTGGTTTGTGCTGGTGAAGGTTTTTTTTTCCTCTTGGTCAATGGAAAATAAACTTCTGCTAGTCAGGCTTAGTTCCAGGAGGCTGACAGAGAAAGAAGAAGGTGCTGACTGTCTTGGCTCTTCTGTCCTCCCATTGCTGTCAAAATATACCAGGGAGTAAAGTACTTTGGCTTTTCTTCCATCTGGCTCAGCACCAAATGACTGTGGTCTTGCAGGCCTCTTAGAATGTAAGGCACATGTACATCTTCTCTTAAAATATAGCAAATAAATTTAAATCTGGTTTCAATCAACTTTTTAGAAGATTGCTTAGTCATTCTGATATTGGGAAATTGTTTACTGGCTTAGTCCTGCACTGATTGATAGTGACTTTCCATTGATTTATGGTCATAATGACAGGATGTCCTGCTTTGGGTGGTTCAGGCTTAGCATTAGGGCAACTAAGGGGCAAATCCAATAGCAGGCAAGAATCAAAAACATAGTGTTACCAGTCAAGAAGGAACGTTCTGAAGAAAGGTCTGGGTGTGGCAGAAGTCAGAGCACAGGTAAGTGGTCTATTGTAAACATAGTACAAAGATCAGAGTCAAGAAGAGTCAAGAAGTCAGCAGCACAAAGTATCAGTCACCAAGCAAAGCCAGGAATATAAGGCATGGGAGTTTTTAGAAAAATGCTATATCAGTGGCTAGACTTGAATAGATTTATGTAGCCTGGACTCCCAGGGCAGTCTATCATAAGCCATTTAACAAAAGTCTGACTTGTGAAGAAGGCCTTGCTCATGAAGAGCCTTCCTTTGTAAATCGGCATCTCTCTTTACAGGGCCTCTTGGGACCACAACATTCTTAGGCTGTTGCACCACCTCTTGCAGGGTGTGACCTGTGGCTGTCTTCTCCCAGGGCCCAGGCTTCTCCTGGTTTTCTGGCATGGGCTCTTATCTGATGTTTGTAATCTCTCAGAGCTCTAGCTCCTCCTCTGAGAAGGACTCATCCAGGAGACCATCAGTATCCTTCTTCCAAGAGAGGGCACTTAAGGCAGTGGGTTCCAGAGCTGAGCACAAAAGGCCTGAGAAGTTCAGGTATGGAGATCTCTGTTGTCTGATAAGTAGGCAGGGTATAAGAGGAAGGACTTCCTTAATCTGCTACAACAGTTTTGGAAGTGGCATGTGATGGGGAGAGGTCACCATCTGTTCATGTAGGCTGATGTGAGGTTGTGATATGAGTAAGGGGGTGCTATACAGCCAGCTCCTGCTGAAAAGAGGAAACCTCCAAGATTCAGTCAGTAGCATCACACTGGCTTTGAAGAAAACAGTAAGTTGAGACATAAAGGTTGGACTCCTTGCCTGTATTGGCTAATAACAATCAGAGACTATCATGAATGATCTATGCTAATCCTTTATCTTTATAAATTTTCAGATATGGATGAATGCAGCTTCTCAGAATTTCTTTGCCAGCATGAATGTGTTAATCAGCCAGGCAGTTACTACTGCTTCTGCCCTGCTGGTTACGTTCTTCTTGATGATACTCGATGCCAAGGTAAGAGTATTTTACCAACTGAGATTTAAAAACAAAGAGAAGACATAATAGCTGTTTTTCTGAAAATCAAAATAAATTGATGCAGCAAAAGTTCATCAGACTTTGCAATGTAAAATCTAAGCAATGGCACAATTTATACTGTAAAAATAATGTGTTGGAAGCTATTGTGAAACACTGCTGAGCACTTAACTATGTAATTACAGTTAACAGGCTTTCTGGCCTATGCAGCCATTCTCCAGTGCAGTTAAAGGTTACACAATAGGTCCCATGCTATTCCTCCTTTCTACTTCCAACATAAAGTAAGTGGCGAATTTCCCAGTGACCTTAATAGAGAAAGTTGATGCCATACTAAACATGCTATGCTTTAGGCAGCTATGAACTGCTTAAAATCCTTTACCAAATAACTAGATTTCAAAGCTAGAAACTGCTCTTCTGTGTGTATCTATGAATATCCCCTGTAGTGAGTATAATTGGAAATAAATGTTGACTAACTGACTGTTGGCAGAACAACACTGTTGCATTGCATAGTTTATCCCTATTGGATTTTAGCTGGGCATAATTACAAGGTTGACAAGATCAGTCTCCCTCTTTCCCTTGGCTGGAAAAAGAAGAAAAAGTCTTAACTAAACATCAGTTAAGTGCCAGAGCCAGTCAACTGTACATGTGAGTACCTTCCCAGAAGTCTAGTTAGTATTAATTTTGTGATTAAAAAGTACAGCCTCATGGCAACTGCTGGCTCATCTCACAAATACCCTAATGCACACTAAATTTTCTCTTGAAATAATTGTATACTCAACAGTAATATAGAATGAACTAGCAAATGAGCCTTGTAAGTGTGAACAGCAGTCATGATGCATCAGCTGTCACTGGCATTTTCTATTGGCCCACTTAAATGAACAGCACTAGTCATATGAAAGCAACATCATTTCTCCACTGTCCAAGCAAAGAAGTTCCAAGTGTAGCTGCTATGGTTTAACTTCCTTTTGGATGAGAGAGAGAACTCGGAGTATTAAGACATTTTAATAATAGTTGAGTCTTTGGCCCTGTTTGCAAACTCATGTGTTGCTCATGGAAGAGCAAGCAAGGAGTGAAACAGACAGCACTAGTGAACAAAGCAACATCATTCCCACCCCCCATAGCAACCAGCATCCACTTGGTTCACCCAAGATGTCTTCTAGTCAGTTACGCAATGTTTCTTCCTTGCTAAACACATCACACCTATTCAAAATGTTCACATCTATTCAAAATGTTTTATCTTTGATACTCACACATGTTCTATAACATTCTTTTCATTCCTACCTTGGTTGGTAGATGTATCTTGATTGGGTAATAGCCACTACTTATCATGCACCATTTTCCCACCATTAATGTTCAGCCAGTTGTTACCAACAATTCTTACTGTTATTATTACTACATTGTATTTATAGCCCACCTTTCTCCCTCTTGGAAGGAACACAAAATGGCTTATATATACAAGTCCATTGTATCCTCACAACAACAATCCTGTGAGGTAGGTTAGGCTGAGAGTGAGTGACTGGCCCAAAGTCACCCAAGGAATTTCATGGCTGAGTGGGGACGAGAACCTGGATCTCCCAAGTCCCATTCCAACACTCCAGCCAATGTGCTCTTAATTAACAAGTGAGCAAGTATACAATCAGTCATCTTTACTTCCATGGTTGGTGTTCTTGGAGAAATGTATTCAGCAATAAGTACGCTACCAAACATGCCAGCAAGGAGGAGAGATAAGAGGCGAGGAGATTGCTGCCTAGTTTATCGCAACACATTTAATATTCTTTGACATCCCTTGTCATTCTAAAAATAAAAGTAAAGTAGAACTACATTCAGTTTGTGTTCTACATGATAGAAGGCTGCTCTATTTGTTCTCGATATCATATCCTGCCATTCTTTCAAAAACCTCAGTGTCACATGCATGTCAGTCACTCCATGTTATTCTCACAACTCCTCTGTGAGTTGGATTAGATTGTGAGAGTATGACTGGGGAGCGGTATGACTGGGGAGAGCCAGCGAATGCATGTCTTGGTGAGTGGGAACTCGAATCCACATCTGTGAGCCAGACCCAATGCTCCAATTGCTGCACCAACCTGGAAATTCAACTCAGGGAGATAGCTTTCAGGGCTTCCTGTGCCACTTTAACTGAAAAAATGTCGAGCCTTTTGTTAATATACCTGTATTTTTAAATTTTAGATATTAACGAATGTGAGGTTGGGAACCACACCTGCACCTTACAGCAAACATGCTTCAATGTCCAAGGAGGATTCAAATGCCTGGACCCAGTGAGATGTGAAGATCCTTACATCCTGATCAACGAAAAGTGAGTGCTACGTTAATGTCCGTATGAAGGCATGCCTCTTTTTCATTTAGTGTTTTCATATGGTGTTTTATCACTATCCAAACTGTTAACAGCTGTTTACTGCTGCTTAGCCTTATGTTATATATTCTTTATTTTAGAATGCCTTCCTATTTCCCTTTTTAGGTGAACACTTAAACTGTGATAGATGGCTGAATAGGCTTTGCTTATCAGATGGCAAGGACTGGCTGAGTCTGTGTGTTCAGTGCCTACTCAGTGGAAAATGCACAATTTTTGCTGTTGAGTTTGTGAAACAGCCTGTAACTTAAATAATAGAGGTGTAATTATTTTGACATGCATCCTCTGCTACAAAGATATTTTTCAACATATACAATTCGTTTCATGAAGCAAACAGCTTCAGTTACTCGTAGTATAGAGATGCAATACAATAAATGAACAAACAGTGGTTTGTAGCTCTTTCATGACATCTTGGTATCCTGTGCTATAAGCATCCACTTCTAGAGGCAAGGGACATCAATTGCTTCCCTCAGATCCAAGTCACGAATTCCTTCTGAGAGCAGGAACAGTGTCTGCTGTATTAAACCTAGAGTTGTGATGAAACTTCCTAGAGTCCATCCCCCTAGCATTCATGGACTTCCTCTTGTGCTTGGCCCTTAGAGAGTGGAGCCAAAAGGAAGTCCTCAAATGGTCATGAAACAAAAGTGGCAGAACCAGCAACCTTTTCTGTGTCGCATGCAGCACAAGCAAAGGGTGCTGCACATGATGAGGAAGAGGGATGCTATTTGCACAATGTTCGCACGCAGCATGATTCTTTGTGAGTCCCTGGACACCCGGGCAGGCTCTGCAGGAACTTGGACTTGTGGCTATGACAAAATGTAATGGAGTTGGGGAGCTGAGCCCAGGGAATCCGATGGATTCACACACCCAAAACAGATTCTCGCACATCCTTAGCTAGACCTACCTCATCTAGCTTTGCTTACTTTCCAGCCACATGGGCAAGACTTGGAACAGGACAGGAGGTCAGTAAATTGAACATGAGAGGTGAGGGATACTCTCAAGTTTAACTGGCATCATAAAACAAAAATGAAGTAGCAGGCAGCAGCATGGCCAAGCTTCTCTATGCCAAAGTAGCTCCATTCTGAAAGGAGCAGTGGTGCCTCATGTCGCACATGCCTGCCCATCTATCTCCTCTCCCCAGTTCCCTGCAACACAGGCAGGTGAGGCCAATAAATTAAACTTGGGGTGGTATTCCATTGAGCTCAGTTCAAGTGGTCAAATGTGTACCTGGCAGGGCTTTCTGGCAGGCCCAACCAGGTAGAAACAGAGGGTCTTTCATGTTGGTAACCTGCTGGAGTGCCTGCCTCATAAAGCAAATGGACAGTAGCATGGCAGTCTCTTTGCTGATGGTGACAATGCAAATCAATGACTTCCCACAGTTTGTGCAAATTTATGCAATTTGTGCCAACTCTAGAGTGGTGGGCTAGATTTTGCACAAAATTCCTCATCTAGTTAAAAAAAACATGCTGTGACCCTTTTTTCAAAATGGAAACTGTGTATTGGTTCAGTTTGATAAGATGGAATCTGCAGTGTAAAGAAAAATGTTTGATTTTTACTCCTCGATTGTTTTCCCTGAACATCCTTAATTCAGCTGTTACTGTTTGGAAGTTTATGCATTCACATGACCAACATTTTTGGGAAAAACTATAGCTTCCCATTCTCACCAGCCTCTGTAAGCTTGATGTATTTATTGCATTGTTCATGACCTTGCAGTCAAAGAAATACAAGCTGATGCACACCGCATAGTGGATGTCTGTAAACTGATATTATGAAAATTACTCAGAATAAAATAATTCCTTGCCAGGTCACCAGGTGGCAGGAGACTCAGCCATATGTACAATTAAGCTGGAAAATATGCTTAAGTAATAAGAACAGCTGTCATCAGAAATGGAGCTGGCCACATAGGATTCGATTAATTCCTTTACATGACATCAAAGTTGAATTTTTAAGTAAGGCAGTTCCACAAAGGATGTGATAGTGCATTTGTCCATGTTTCTCTTCATTTTTTGAATTATTTATTCAAAAACAAAAATAAGTTAGGATCCCCTACAGGACAATGACCACTCCAGACTGCTTTCTAAATAAAAAATTCAGGCTACATAGGTAGTGCCTTGTAGAAGTCTTCAACACCCCCCCCCCCACCGATTTTTTCCACATTTTCTTTTGTTACAACCTGGGACTGAAATAAATTAATTGGCACTGTTGCCACTTGAAGTAGACAAGGTACTCAGCAATGTGAAAGTGCAAAATATCTTCACTGTAACACAAAAGCAAAGACAACAGGCACTTGCTGTTGCATCAGTATTCCACCCCGAGGTCAGTACTTAATAAAAGCACTCTGGCAGCAAGTCGTCTTAGGTAGCTTTCTGTCAGCTTTGCACATGGGAATCCTGCAGTGTTTGCCCATTCTTCATGGCAAACCTGCTCCAGCTCGCTCAGGTTGGATGGGAACTGTTGGTAAACTGCAGTTTTTAATCTTGCCACAGATTTTCTATTGGATTGAGGTCTGAGTACTGACCAGGTCATTCTGTGGGTGTTATGTGCCATCAAGTCATCTCCGACTTATGGCAGCCCTATGAGAGAAAGCCCTCCAAAATGTCCTGTGCATGATAGTGCCATTCAGCTCTTCCAAGTTCAAGGCTCTGGCTTCCTTTATGCATTTGGAGAAAACTCAATGGCATATAACAACTTACAAAATATTTTTTTTTTCAATTTATATCCTGCCTTTTTCCTACAAAGGGCTCCAGGCAGCTTACATCATTCTCCTCCTCCATCTTATCCCCACAACAACAATCTTGTGAGGTAGGTTGGACTGATAGTCTGTGACTGGCCCAAAGTCACCCAGTTGGCTCCATGGCTGAGTGGGGACTAGAACCCAGATCACCTGAGTCCCAGTCCCATGTTCTTAATCACTACACCACACTGGCTCTCACCAAAAATATAAAATAAAATACAAAAGAACATACAAAAAGAATTCAATTTTATAGGATCTGCTTAATATCAGTAATAATAATAGCATTAGCAATAGTAACAATGATGTTATGATGATGTAGATTCTAGTCCATGAAAGAAATGACACAACCATTATTAGTGCAATACATGTTTTTTCAGAAGTAAGTTCCACTGACTTAAGTCCCCCAGATATGTTTGGGGTACGACTTCCATCATCCCCTGGAATGGTATGAGCTGTGATATAGGACATCAGAAGGACACTTGGTGGGGAAAGGTTAGCGTATAACATTACAGCCCAAGGTTCTAAAGGACTCTTTATGGTTAATGGTGATGATAATTCAAAAGCAATAATAATATTAAACATTTTTTGTTCTGTCAGTCACTGTATATGCCCAGCTGAAAATCCTGGTTGTAGGGACCAGCCATTCACCATTTTGTACAGAGACATGGATGTGTCGGGACGCACAGTACCCTCAGATATATTTCAAATGCAAGCCACATCTCGCTACCCTGGCGCTTATTACATCTTCCAGATAAAATCAGGAAACGAAGGCAGAGAATTCTACATGCGGGTAAGTAGGATTTTCAGACAAGAACTAGCACATAATTTTTAGAAAACATCTTTATTACTTGCTGTTTAAAATTTAGAACAAGGTTCTGCTTGCTTAGTACTGCCGTCACTTGTTCTATAGACCAGCATTGTATAATTTTCAAGATACATGCACCAGCTTGCAAATAAGTTCATAAGAGGGATGTCATGTTTGGAGAACCTCAATGTCTTCCATTTATCTATTTCACACAGCAAACTGGACCCATCAGTGCCACTCTAGTGTTGACCCGTCCTCTGAAGGGGCCACGAGACATTCAGCTGGACCTCGAGATGATCACTGTTAACACTGTCATCAACTTCAGGGGAAGTTCTGTCATCCGACTGAGGATATATGTATCCCAGTATCCCTTTTAAGCCTAGAGTTTCATTGCTTTCTTTAAAAGAAAAACAAACAAGCAGCAGTTGAAAAGGACATTATCCCTTTTCTGCCAGAACTTTCTTCTCAGGAGTCACTGCATCTAATCACTCAACATGAAATCAATATTAAAACTTTTCACAATGGCTCATATTACAAGGATGGGCCAGGCTTACTTATGGGTTGAAGCCACCTGAGCTTTGCATTGTCAGTGGATCCCATATACATTTTTTGTTTCCATTGATCATGTGCTGTATAAAAATCTTTTGTCTTGCTTTTCAAACTTTTTGTAGGTTGTGATTATAAGCTTAAGAAACTGTGAAAAGCTCTCCACCTTTATAATGGCAATGCTGCTTAGCAAAGGCATCAGAGAAACCATGGGAAAAGCTGGCTTTGCTTTCTGCTCTCTTCCTTCATTTTTTAAAAAGAAAGCAAGAAAATACCTGTGGAATTGGGGAAGCATAAAAAATTCTCTCAAAAACATCTGTGGAATCATCAGTTCTGATTCTTTTATGAGTTTAAATGGAATTACTCCCCTGTTGGTCTTGGATCAGGATCCACAAAACCATGTTGTTTTACATATTTGTAACAGAATGTTGGGTTTGTGTTTCTTGAACAGTTGTTTCTTGTGTTTCTACCTTTGCAACCCCCTTTTTAAAACTCCAAAAGCAACTTATAGCACAGAGAACTGATGGTCCAAATCAAAAGGTCAGAATCTCATTGTGCATTCCTAAGCTGCCAGGTATGCATAAAGTAGATTTTTGGATCGCAACTATTAAGTGTAATGGAGTTTTGGAGGAAATATAATAGATGGTGTATGTAATGTCCTTTTTCTCTATTTATACTTAAGGCTTCCCTATCACCAGCCACAGGTAGCCTGTAAGACAATGCTCCTTTATGGAATGGGAAAGCAAACACATGCAGGTCACATTTCAGCAGCTTTCATAGATGTTCTGCAAAGGAAATCTGGAATTTCCTTTGTTCCGTTCTGTACATAGGGAAAACTGTGCATGTGCAAAAAAGAGGTATCCCTGGGAGTGGAATAGCATAAAACATATGTCCAGTACAAAGAAGATCCTAGTTCAATTCCTACTATGTCCACTTAAAGGATCTCAGGAAGCAGACTGGGAAAGACCTCTGCCTGATGCCCTTGAGAGCTGCTACCACCAGGAGTAGAGTACCTGGGGCTATATGGACCAGTGGCCTGACCTAGTACAAGGCAGCTTGATATGTTGATCCTCATAAGTACATAGAACACTTTTCTGTGAGGAAGAGATACAGGAACTCTGTATGCAGTATATGTAGTAGCTCGTGTGCCAAAAAGTTATTATGCCACAAAACATTTATTTGCATTAATCTCTTAAATCTTAAGTATCCCAGGATGTGAAATACTGCACTCTCATCTGTTTCTGTTAGATTGCTGCTGTGATTAAACTGTTAGAAAAAATAACTTACACTCATTAGCAATGTAGGATCTCAGCCTAGTCTTTTGATGCACATCCAAAATAGCTCCTTTTAATGCATTTTAATGTTAGCACAGTAGCTAACAGACCCATGGCTAGAAAATGAACTAATATGTGACGAAGTTGACTGTACCTCTCCTGGGATTTTAGAAGAAAATAGTTGTGGTTGTACACATATTTGGAGAACATATTTATGGAAACAAAAATTGAAACAACTTATATTAGGAGTATAGCTGTGAATAAGTCTCCTGCCTTACGTTCAAAGCATATCTTGTTCCATTTTTAAGTGTTTGGGCTTTTCTACATGAGACATTTATTGAGCACTCTTGATTCCTTACAGTTGTTTGCCTACTGTTTAGAGGATCTCATGAACCTCCAGTTTCACTTTTGTTTCTTCAGAGAACTTGGGGGCGGGGTTGGAAGGGTAAAATGAACAGGGAAAATGGCACTCTAGCTCCTGGTGTACTTGTGCTATAGCAAAGCTCCCTCTCGAAGTTGTGTAACTGAAAAGCAGGAAAGGAGGAGCTCCCTTTGATCTCAGTGCTGCAATGAAACCAAAAACATGTTCAGTATTTTAAGCTTCCCAAGCACTTCTTCAAAGCAAGCAAAGATGTGTGGCACAAAACAAAGTAAGAATTATATGTATTGCATATATAGGTTTGGACTCTCATTAAATGCCATCTTAAGCAACTAACAACACAATCTATTTTGGATTCCCATAATCCTTATGATTCAGAGGATTACAGGCAATCCATCAAAAGCAGGAGAAATATGGAACTGAAAATTGCCAGGATACCTTATACCATGATGAAACGTCATTCCTTCCCTCCATAATGCCCCCACTAGCAGCTCTAAGGTTGATTTTACAACCTCAGAGCTACAGCAGGTAAGGAAAGAACAGTCCTGGCTGCAAGGGAGGATGCTCCAAATCCAGAATCCCAGCTCCAACACTGGAGCAATACTTCCAGGGTTGGGGCTGGAATGCAGAATTTTCCTATGACTAATCAGACAGTATCTCCTGCTCATAGGAAATATAGTTTCAAAAATATACTATTTGAACATTCTGTCACCCATTTTGTTGAGCCGGCGCATCAAGAAAAATGTATACACCATATATAAATATGATTTGAGCCTCTAGCTTAAATATGTGAATTAACAAGGTTGAAACATTCTAATATGGTTTTCCATGAGTTTCCACTCCCTTTGGAATGCAACAGTGAACTATGGTTTAGCATTATGTCCATGAACAGTAGCAAGTGTCAGACTTCTACACTTCTCCCAACCCATTCTTTTCAGTGTGATTGTGAGCAGGAAATTGGAAGCATTTGCTTCCTGTTCTAAGCTAACCAGCATTTCTTGTTATTGCCAAACTTGAAGAAAACTCTGGTTAGTTTAAACTATAAAATAGTGTTTCCATGTCCTGACTTATTGGCAAAACAGTAAACCAATCCTGAGTTATTGCAGTTCAAGTGAACAAAAAATGGGATTTTAAAAAATGGTTTAAGTTTAAACCAGAACCATGCTGAATGAGAGAAAAGGCCCATCTACTGCTCTGTTGAGAAAGGGTCCAGCAAGCGGCTTCTGGGAAGTACACCAGTAGCTCTTGAGTGCAGTAGCATCCTCCTGATGATCATGTTCTGTAGCGACTGGCATACATAGGCATGCTATTTCCTTTTCTGGAAGCAGCACGTACCCATCACAACTAGTAGCCACTGATAGCCTAGTCCTCCATGAATTTGTATAGTCTCCATTTAAAGCCATCTAAGTTGGTGACCATCCCTGCATCCTGTAGAAGTGAATGCCACAATTTAACTATGTACTGCGCAAAGTACTTCTTTTTATCTGTTCTGAATCTCCTACAGTTCATCTTCATACATGATTCCAGGTTCTAGTATTTTGAAAGATTCTAAAAGCCTCATATTATGGGTGTATGCATTTTTTCCCATACCATGCATAATTTTGTAAATATCATGTCTCCCCATTGCCTTTTTTCAAAGCTAAACTATCCCAGATGCTGTAATCTTTTAGATTGGGGAGTTACTTCACCACCTTGATAATTTTGGTGCCTCTTTCCTGCACCTTTCCAACCATAATATGTACATTTTCGAGACCTGTAGACCAGAACTGTATGCAGTATTCCAAGTGTGGTCGCACTATAGTTTTGTATAAGGGCAGCACGATACTGGTGGTTTTATTTTTGATTCCTATTCTAATTGTGCTTAACATAGAATGTGTCTTTTTTCCAGAGCAACCACACACTGTGTCGACACTTTCCTCAAGCTGTCCACCACAATCCCAAGATCTCTTTCTTGCTCAGTTAACAATATTATTATTGTCATGTATTTCATTTTTATACCACCCCACAACCAAAGCTTTTTGGGCAGTTTACAACTGTTGCTAAACAGTTAATAAAAATGCAGACAATAAAAATGCAACAAGAATCAGAAAAAGTTTAAAACCACTAAAAAAGACCATAACAAAAAGAAACTCAGCAGAAACACGAGGGTAGAAATACTAGTAGCTCAGTTCCCATCATCATACATATGAAGATGGTATTTTTTGTACCAACATCCACTATTGTACACTTGCTTTCTTAAACACATTCACCACTTTAATGCCCATTATTTTAACCATCCTGAGCAATTCAGTTATAACAGAAAACTTGGCCTCTTCACTGCCCACTTCTCATTCCAAACCCAAGGCTCACTGTTACTCTTGCACATATTAAACCATAGTTTATTGTTATGTCTTGAAGAGACTGTTATATGTGTATGTGGGCTCAAATGTCCTACTTGTAGGTTTCCCATGAACAGCTGGTTAGCCACTGTGCGCAAAGAATGCTGGATGGGATGGACCCTTAATCTGATCCAGCACAGCTCTTCTTATTTCTTAACATACAGCAGTTGTGTAGTACCCAGATGTATATCTACTGCTACTAAAATGGCTTTTCCCCCTAGCTCTCAATAGTATTTGCAGTTGTTGGGAAAATGCTACGTTTTCTTGAGCCAGTACTTGCATTGCAATGATTATCTCTTCCTGACACCCTCCTCTTACTTCCCTCTTTCTACTGCATTGTGCCATGATGAAATATTGCAATGCAATCATAATCAGTGCTACTTCAAGTGAAATATTCCTATGGAAAACATACAAAAGAAATTATTAATCTCCTGGCAAGTTCTCCATTAACACCCTGCTGAAATGACATTAATAAGTAAATAAAATAAGCCTGTAACACTGGTGGACTTGTGTGGTTGTTATCCATTTCAGTGGGGCTTATGAAGGAGAATTTCTTAATGTATTGTGTTGTTTGACCACAATCACAGAGGTCACAGCACATGACTTCTTGTTTCTTCGTTTGCTACAAAATGCTTACCTCCCTTTCACCCTCCTATACGTAGGTAATTACTTAACTCAGAGAATGGTCAGATGATCGTCTTCGATTTTTGTTGTTGTTGAGCCTGAAATACTTTATACAGACCAGCATATTGAGCCATAGCTGTAATAATCTTAGATTTGTGAAAAAATCTACCATATCTGTAAAAATGCCTTTGGTTTTTTTTTTTTTTTTTTTAGAAATTAGCAATCAACCCTTTGGATTCATGATCTAAAATCTTCTTTACTTAAGACCTGATGAGTCCCTCACCACTGAAACTCTGAACAGTTTAGAAGGCATCCAAACCTGCAATATACGGGGCATCCGTTCAAAAATACATTTTCTGCCTTTATTTCTTAGTCCTTAAAAAGGCTTTGAGGCTTGATTTTCCTATGCCTTAGCCCTTGCTGCACGGTGACTCAGGATACAGCATCATTGTTCTTCACTAGTGCGCAGTGGCTATACATCTTAATGTATTCACTACTTTTTGACAAGACTTCTGCATTCTCAGTGTTTAAGAATCCTATGATTCTAAACAATTCTGGAACCTTGAAACAAGGTCAATAAGCAAAAAAAAAAAACCTAGGTTTTTTTTGGGGGGGGGCAATTGTACAGAAATGCAATCAAAAGGCTTTGACACAAGAACAAATTACAAGAGTCCCAACAGTCTCATTACCCATGTGTATGGGTCCACCAAACATGTACATGGATGTTCAAGGAGATGAAACAGGCCTCCATTGGGTCCTATAGATTCTTTGTATAGGAGCACTATAGCCACAGGGGACTGGATCGTGTTCATTGTGTTATATGTTGCTTTTGATTGATGAAACTGTCAATAGTGCACTCTTATATGACAGTGCAACTATGCAAAGCAGAGAAGGCTTTGGCTCAAAATCACATTGAAAAGTTACTACATCAGAAAGCTACTGATGTGGCAATTATTCTGGCCACCATTAAGTTAACTGCTTATAATCAAAGGCAGAAATGCATTAGTAGGCCTACAAAACATTCCTTTCTTTGATTTTAAAAGGGATGCTTCCTCTTCAAGTGGGGTAATACTGAGTCAATAATGTGGTTTTTGGGAACAGCATTATCATTGCAATAAATGGCTAGTTTGTATATCTGTCTCAGGAAGAGAGAGAACAAAGCAGCTGTTAAAATATTTATGAATGCCCAAGTTATTCTGCAAGAAGCTACAAGGAAGAAGACTAAATTATACTTTGTTTTGGTAATATTAGTAATCATCTTTTAATTATTTACATATTCACAAACAGGCCATTTGAAGTCAAGAAAATAGGTCTGGTTTCCAGATTATAGCTTATGTCTGCAACTATTTCCCAGGGGCAAATAAAATAAATCTTATTCTTTACTCCATTGCAATGCACCTCACATGTGCCTGCTAATTAATATATAACCAATAAAATATCCATTATTAAGACAGGCAGGCTACATACCTATCTGGAAGAAGGGCTCCCCCAACATTCCTTTCAGGATGGGCTGGGCCAGCAAATGTTAGAGACTACCCACTATATGTGAATCAAAGGGTAGCACTTTATCCCCTCTAAGATGAAGTTGCAACAAAATTAAAGGATTCACTTGGAGGCACACTGTGATGGAGGGTGCATCTGGAGGTTTTTCTTATAACCCCCAAAATTGAAGATTCACAACTATCATAATCACATCAGCCTAGTCTCTTATTTTGTGTAGCTCTATAAAAGGACATTTTTGGAGGGTCAGTAAAATTGGGTATTTCATTCTTCCCTGTTTACTTTCACATGCCATACTTCATTACTAGTTTGCATCAAAAAAGGGAAGCTGCAATTTATGCTAGGCAACTTTGTTTTTGATTCTTTCATATAGAAACCCTTATTCATTTGTATCTGAAACCAATCAGTTAAAAATTCTTATTTTTTTAAAGAATGCAAAGGAACACAGCATTGAATATGCCAGTATGGGATTGTTCTTTAAAAGCTTTGTACACAAAAATTGAAAAAAAATCATTTTCAATAAAATTATACATGAATTTTTGTCTTTGTGATCATTTCTTCAAATAACAAGAGAAGATTAGAATTATTATGCAGAGTCAGATTATTATGTTTTAACTGGGAACCTCTTTATTAAAAATTTTGATCTAAGGTTGTGGGTGCTTAGTTTCCATACTAGGAGTGCATACCTTCTTAAGTTCAGAAATGATTCTGAGTGCAGATTTGAACAGAGACACCTTCTGCCCCCTCACATGTGTCTCATAGTTATGTGATCTTCTGAAAGTTTTTCTCCTTCAGCCCCACAACACAGCCCACCCCACTCAGTAGGATCTCTGAGCCCTCTGCAGGCTCTGGGAAGTTGCAGGGAGCAGAAGGGTGGGAAGTTCAGGTCAGCTTCCTCACATTCCCTTCTTTGAGTGACAATCTGGAATTCTTCTGAATTCAGCCTTATTAGTTCAATTCCACTAAAGTTGTACATTAACTATGGAGTATATACCTAGTGCACTTACCTAGGAATAACTTTTATTAAGCATCACTTCAGAGTAAACTGTGGATTATGCTGCCCTCGAGACTAGACTAAAAAAATGATTATATGTATACATAATAGAAAGCCTCACTGAATTCTGTGGTACATGCTTAAGGGTAAACTTGGATTAGACTACATGTTTCTTTGCAATCAATTGAACCAATGAGATTTATTTCTGACAGGCACTAGTTACCTTGGGACCAACTTCCCTTGATCTATCTGTAATTGTAATCAAGCAATGAAAACTGAATAACCTTACATTCAATTTAAATTTGAAAGAGGTGAATAACTTTACATGTCTTGGAGAAGGAGGGCACATTCCAGTGTCCTCTGCTTTGTACCGCAATAGGGTCTTACATGCATCCAATGCACACAGAAAGGCACAGCAGAGGTTCTCTTTACATTCCTGTACCTCACACCATCTGTTTTGTCTAGATGGTTATTTTTGGCCATCTAGATTAAGTGCTGGGAAGGAGGCTGGGATGCTAATACAAATTGGTGTTAGCCATTTCCCTCCATCTCCTCACCACCCCACTCCCATGACATGGTCCTTTTCTACCTCTCCAAAGCCTAGCTACACCCTCAGAAAGGCAGTCTGTGTGGTTCTTTCTGTGCTAGCTGGGGGATGGCGGGATGAGCGAGGGACTTGCCATTCAGATTCCTGGCACTAAGGTTGCAGGATGCATCATGCCCAGATGATCAGGAAGCCATAGCATTGCATCCTAAGTTATTCACTATCAGAGAATCACATTCCAAGTGCATTGCTGAAGTCTTAGTTTCTGCTTCATGGTATTTCATTCAAATTACATTGACACTGCAAGGCATTTCCAGTTTGTCTGCATGATGGTCAGATTTGCCACTGAATTCCTTACCAGTGGAATGCTCCCCTGTGGAGATAGAGTAAATATGGAATGCCACATAACTTCTAAACTTACTGCCTTTATTAGGCACTAAAAGGAAGTAGCTTATACAACAGTGTCTTTTTTAACTTCTCCCCAGGTAACTCATATGCGTGACTCTGATAACTTGGCATTCACTGGGATAGGTGAGATTGACAAGATTTTCAAGCTATTCAAGGTACTGATAAGGATCTTCAGTGGTTTTAAACACAGATGAACATCTCAATTGCTTGCTTCAAGTGCCACCCATGCTCAACAGCCTCCATTGTATAATTTGCAAACAAATTATTCTGAATCATTCATTGGCTGGAAGTTTGCCTTAAATCAACAAAGAGAGTGCTCCAATTATCCTCCTTTCTTATTACTGCTATATATCCCATGGTTAAAAGGCTAAAAGTCACTAAAAACAGACTTGTAAAGTTATTTTCATCTCTATAATAACGAATGTTTGATATTCAAATTTCCAGGCATGTTTAATTAACTCTCACTGCAGTGTAAGTAGTTAATTTGTAACTAGTGTAGTGACTGAGTGGTGAATCAGGAAGTCAGCCACTGAAATTTCACCTTAGTTATCAACTCACCTAAGAGTGGTCTTAGGCACGGATTGTGCAATATAGAAATAATAATGGAGATAAAACTGAGCTACCATACAGAGGTGTAGCAAGAATTATGGCAATTATATATGTGATGTATTTTGCTCCCGTTTAAGTGCAGTTCTCAAACTTTCTAAACTTAAGTGAGGCCCACATGTCTCAAAATAGCAGCAGATAAAATTTGGCATTATCAGCTCACAATTACTGAGACGCTATCTGAAAAGCACTAAATTCTTTGCCACAATTATTTCCTTGTATTGGAGAAGTTCATCATTCAGTTTTTCTTAAATACTGACATTGGCTGTGGAGGTATTCAGCCTTCCCAAATTAAAATTACAGATCACAATTAAACAAAGGGTATTTCTTATAATTATATTGGGTAAATCTGTGATATCAGGCTACACCTGATCCTTCAAGCGTATTTGTGAGTAATTCTGAAGAATCCAGGCCTTTAAAGAATAACTGCAGTTGGGTGCAGTGCCATTTACAGCCATTCCTCACACTAACTTTCAAGAGATAAAGCATGACCTGTACAAGGTAATGCAGTTGCATGTGGAAAAGAACACCACCCTATCACAGAGTAATATGCAGATATTTTAATATTGTTACATGGGTAAAGATTCTGTGCTTTTGATTTGATGTGAATTAGATGGTCAAACTCATATCACTCTTCTCAACAGTTCTAGGACCTAATATTAATAGATTGAACTTAAAGCCAAGTTGTGGATTTTTCTATAAATGTTGATGGGATCTGATAAATTCTTTGGGATTAGTCTTAATGGAAATGAATGGGAGCTGCCTTGGTTTATGCAAGAGCTTCATGACTCTTTTGTTTTGCGCTTTGAGATACTGAATATCTGAAGAAGAGGTTGCTTAGAAGATCTATCAAGATTAAATCACTATTATTTCATTGCATTTATATCTGGCTTTTCCCCCTCTTGTGAAGAACCCAAGAAGGCTTATATAGCTCCATTTTATCCTTACAGCAACCCTACGAAGTAGATTAGGCTGAAAGTGAGTGACTGCTCCAAAGTTACCCAGTGAGCTTCATGGCCAAGAGGGGACTATACCCTGGATATCTCAGGTATCCAGTCCAAAACTCTTGGGACCATAATTTTTGATGGAATGCTTCTCACAACTTGAACCTACCCAGATCCTATGATCAACACAGAAACAGAGCGAGTCAGAAGGGGCCTCCTGGGCCATCTGACCCCGGCTCCAGCTGGCTCCACTCATGACATGCCTACCACCTGCATGTCCAGCCTATCCTTGAACACCCTCACCAATGGGGCTTCAACCACCTCCCGTGGAAGCCTATTCCATACCCTTGAGATCCTGTCAGGATGTACTTCCTGGCATCGAAATTGAACCTTGGTTCCCTGGGCTTTGCTCCATTGGAGTGCATCCTGCCCTTCCCTGCAGGGGAAAACAGGTCTCTACGCACCTCTGTGTGGCCACCCCCTCATGTACCTATTATGTCGCCAACAGATCCCCCTGGAGTCTCCTCAAGGCTGAAAAGGCCCAGCTTCCTCAGTCTCATTTCATACAGCTTCCCCTGTAATCTAGCCACCGTCCTTGTGGCCTACGCTGAACCAGAGACTGAGTGCATCCTTTGAGGGAGTTCAGAAGGTGGCAACACAGGAGAGGGTCTTCTCACTGGTGGCCTCCTGCTTAAAGAATGCTGTCCCTGCTGAGATCCACCTAGAACAATAATGTTATCTTTCAGCACCTGATTAGGACTGTCCTCTACTCTTAGGCATTTGATGGCATACGATGGGGCATTTTTGTCAACTGTCTCCATCAGGTCCAGTATCTTACTAAAAATTTCTAGCAGTTTAAATGCACAATCTGGTCACACAAACCCCACCATGTCTTACAAACATACAATGCAAGGTGTGAGGAGTGGCAGCGGCAATTTCCACTGTGTTTTGTACCTTGCGCTTTATCTAGATAACTGTTTTTGGCCATCTAGGCATAGCACCTGGAACAGGGAGGGAAGGATGCTGAAGTACAGATTAGAGTCTGGTCTGGTCATTTATGCCACCTGAAACTCCTCCCTCCCCTGCGCCTTCCTTCTCCAAGACTCAATTGTGACCTGGGGCAGAGGGAACAGTTGGTGGGGGTCTTTCCATTGTAGCTGCAAGGGGTGGGGCATGGGCTTGGACTTTGAAAAATCCTATAGGTTGTGCTCTAGATGGGTTGGGTTTGTATGAATCATCTAGAGAGATTTTGGATGGCACAGAAATGAAATAAATACCTAAAAATTTTTATTTCCACATACTAAGATAATTTCTATTTTAAATCTTAACAAATACAGTTCCTAAAATATAACATCCTAAAATATATTCACAAAATTCTACTATTTTAGTTAGGTATACAATGGATTACCACCATCTGTTGGGAGCAATCTGCAAAGTTTAAACAAAGGATATGCTGAGGAAAACTTACAACCGGTACTCAGAGGTACACCACCATTTTTCCACATTCAGTTATAACTGGTAGACCCATCCTCCTTATCAGACAGGCAAAACTCCTTGGATTACTGAAGCTCCATATTTTTTACCTACAGTTCCCATCAGTCCTGGCCAGCACAGCCAAAGCGAGTGCTAATGGGAGTAGTAGGGCAAAATACCTCAAGGTTGCAGGAGTGAGGGGGGATGACATGTTGCTATATAGGCCAATAGCCTTAAAATATACCTTGCGGGGAGCTTCGTGATAGAACAGGGATAGCCAGTCTCTATAATACAGGATAGTTTTATCCTGTATTATAGAGTGTTTTAAGGAAGGAGCTTGGAACCTACATCTTTTGGTACACAGGAGTGCCAGAGCAGTTCTTCCTTAACAGTCCAGGGTTGCTTTTAGAGAAGAAAAAGCCTCTGCTACCAGAGCCATGAAGCATGCCAGCAAGGAGCCAAAAGATGTGTGGAAAGAGAGATGAAAGAGTATAAGGTGTTCACCCATATTAATGAAGAGGAGGATGGAGGGTCCCACAGAACCCAGGAAGTGCAAACCTCTCCTCT